TGTTCGGCCGTTGGCACTAATGGGTGGCGAAACGACAGTTTGATTTCCTTTGAAGGATACCTGACGAGTGGTTGTGTCGATCACGACTCCATAGCGTCCAAGTGTTGGCAGAGAGAGGAGAAGTCCATACTTGAAGCCTTCAAGGACTTGTGCTTGTATGCGGCGAACCATGCGGTTGACAGTGAAATCAAACGTGACTTCTCCGACAGTCCGTACGTTACCTCTCGCCAGATGAATGGATGTGTTCCGAGACTTGTCAATGCGGAGACGGAGACGTTGGGCGACATGCAGTGGTATTATGTCGAGTGTCGATCCGGGGTCTGCGAAGGCGGAGAAGTGTAGGGAACCGATATGGCCTGGAATTAGAATAACGTCGCGCGCAGCGGCGGCTGTAGACATGGACTGATTAGTAATGCAGTGGTTCTGTGACTGCTGTGAAGAATCGCTTGGATTAACTCTTTGTTGATCAGAAGTCGAGTTACTTCTGGAAGAAGTACTGGCTGTACTTCTGGGTGTACTTCTGGAGGTATTATTGGGACAGTGTTTGTGCCAATGATACGCTACTTCGCCGATGTCCGCGCAGATACGGCAAGAGTACGGGCATTCATTGGAAGTGTTGTCTGTGCGGCGATCAGAGCGCTGCGAAGTCCCACCAGAAGAGCGATTGCGATTGTTTTGTTGTTGTTGTCCCGAGCCGTGGGACATATGATTGGCTGCATATGATGAGCGATTTGATGAGTGAGCAGATGGGCGAACAGATGAGCGGTTTGGATGGCTGTTCTGTGAGCGACGGCTGAAGTCTGCCTCCAAATCCTGAGCTTTGGTGAGCCATTGGGAGAGGTCCGGACGGAGACCCATGAAACGGTCCCTGTACCTCTCGGGAAGACCTTCTGTCAGAAGTCCGGTCATATCTGTCTCGCTTAGGCCGGGGACTCGGCGGAGGATTCGAGTCTTCGCGTCGAAGTACTCACGAATTTTCTCATCGGACTGAAAGCGGCGGCGATTTGCGGCGTTCAGGGGCTGAATGTCAGAGTGTCCGTAGCGAGCGGTCAGCTTTTCGACTACTTCTGACCACGTGACTTCTTCGACAAGAAGTACACTTGAGCCAAAGTAATCGGCAGCTTCACCCTCGAGGTACTCAATCAGGCGGTCGACCTTTAGGTCGTCAGAGAGGGTGCGGAAGACTCGATCGAAGAGCCGGAAAAAAGCTTCAATTGTTAACGAAGAGTCGGTCTTACCGCTGAACTTAGGGAGTCTTGCAGAAGTCCTCGGGACTTGTGGATCGGAAACGGCTGTTTCAGTGCTCTCGGAGCTATGGGGTGGTGAAGAAGGAGGAGGTTGTCGTCGAGTTCGCGCCATTGCGAGTGGAGATCAGGCGTTGGATACCACGTGTAGATTAGGATCAGGTATATGTGATCTTACAGGACTGCGCCACTTTGTTGTGGTACTACTCTTTGCGATCGCACAGTGTTGATGCGGGACTACTAACGAGAGGTCCTTCGGGTGAGGACTTGATAATAGTGGACACAAAGGGTAGTCAAACAAAGAAAGAGATGAATGAATGGATGAGAAAATGGCGAATGAATGAGACAATGATTCAATGACTGCTCTGTTTAATGAGTAAAACAAGACTGAAATACAATGTGCTTTGTATGTGAGAAAAGGAGTACAGATTTGAACAATACATGAGAAGTACTGCTGTGTGATTGGTTAGTGTTGTTGCTGAGGGGTACAGGTAATGAGGGTCAGGAATATAATTGGCTAAAAATACAGGTAAATGAGAAGTATAACAGTAATAACGTGTACAATAAATTGATGGTCATATCAAACTAAAACCATATTATTATTATATTAATGGCAAGACTAATAGATAGTTTATTTAATTATTTGCTAAGAGAGGGAGAGAGAGAGGGGGAGAGAGAGAGAAAGAGAGAGAGAGAGAGAGAGAGAAAAAGAGAGAAGGAGGGAGGGAGAGAGGGAGAGAGAGAGGGGGGGGGAGAGAGAGAGAGTTTTAACATTTTTGCCAATAAAAACGCGATAAAAAACAATACATTTTGAATACAATTTAGATAAAATTACTTACTTAATTTCTACTTTATTTATATCAATTTGATTGTAAATTTTAAATTATAATTAACAATAAAAAAAATTACAAAATCCAACGATTTATATAACAAACAATTTCACAATAGATATTTACTTCACCTAAATTATGATATTACGTACAAACATTAGATAACTAAACTAAAATGGCAATGTTTTGTTTTATGTGATCAGGTTTTATATAAAGTCATAAAGAAATATATAATTTATAACTTATATTCATTATAAATTATAATCACTATTTAGCTATAGAGCCATTTTTGAATAATGAAGTTATACTTTAGTAATATTACTTGATTACTTGATAACTTGATTAATGCTATCAAATATGAATCTACCTATGCATCGCTATACTTATAACTCATACAGTATTAACTATTTACTATTGCATATCAACATAACCATTCCTGATTATAAATGAAATATTGATTATCTAGAAACCAATTAGTAATGATTAATATATTTGCCAACTATTTTAGCATTTATAATGTTTAAGTAATTTATTACTTTATTTTCTAAATAAAATGTAATTATGAAATACTATAAATATAATTATTGATTGCAACTTTAAACTCATCCATCATTTAAATACAGTTGAAGACAACTATAATAAACAAAAACATCTTTTAGCTCATTTATTATAACATTTGAACAATTCAAGAAATTAACTACACAACGTACAAATTTGCCATTAAGACTTTATTTAAAATGAGCATAGTTATTTTTTAATTATTAGTCAAATTTGCAAAGATTTTTACAAGTTTACCAAAGAGAATTGTGACGGTTCTTGTGTTTTGTTGAGGTGTTTAGAGAGGGCGCGCTGATGAACAGGTGATTCGGTGAAACCTTCGGGTGTAAATATCTCGGGATTTATTGGATTAGTCGAGACTATTAATGGCTCATTCGGAAGGTCTTGATAAGTAGAAGAGTTGAGAGGGTCGGTGACTTTGGGTAAGTCACCGAAGTAGATCCAGCTGAAGTAGTCGGTGAAGTAATTCCCGAATATCTCGGGATTTACAGTATTGTTCGGGACTTTTAATAGCTCAAACGAAGAATATGGATGAGTGGAACAACTTGTAATGGATAATGACCTTGGGTAAATCACCAGAGCTAATCCAGAAAAAGAAACGTCTTGAGCGTGGTAAAAGTAGAAATGTATGGATAAGTGCGCGCAATGTGTTTGGGGAAATGAACACCTGTGGTGGCAAACCGTACAGAACGGTTGGTGTTTGACCTAATCTATGGGCGATCGGGTCTACCGTCGATGGAGTTTCGGATGAAGACTATGTACGGGAAAGGACTGGTGATGACTGGGGTATCATTTGACTCACGGCTTGTCGGGTAAAGAGTGTATAGATTGATAGTATAGAGACCGCGGGTCACTCGCTTCTTATAAAGCCGGACTCTCGCGAAAGAAAAAAACTGAAAATGCAAATGAAGTGTAAGACAGACCGTAAGTACTTTTTCTAAAAACTAAACTTTTGTTAAAGCATTATTCGCTGTATATAGTGAATGTGAATATACAGGATGACATATTTTATAAGTACACCCCTGGGCGCAGTTATCCCTATTACAAGCCTGCGTTGCTTAGCAACACAATACAACTTTTTTTTTGTTTTCAACGGTTTTCAACAAATGTTGTATTGTGTCGCTAAGCAACACAGGTTTGTTATAGGGATAACTGCGCCCAAGGGTGTACTTATAAAATATGGCATCCTGTATACTGGTAATACAGTTTATACGTGTGAAAACACAATGTTTTATTAGGTAATATAAATAGTAAAAATAATTGTTTAATATCAATAAAAACGTAATGTTATACAATGTATTAATATGAATATAAATGTAATTTAAATTTATTCTAATTATGATTAAATACGTAAAAACATAGTTGAATTGATTGTGTTTAAAAAAATATAAATGTGGTTAACATACATGTATGTATTCTGAGAATTCTTGTGCCCAACTGTATGGTCTCAAATAGGTGTACAAAAGGGTTAGAGTATGAAAATGGGTTATAAATGGTATAAAAATGTAATTCTAGGAATAAAAACAAATATTTATTGAAAATAATGGTAAAACTAAGATAATTTTATTATTCGATGTCTTTTAGTTGATCCAAAACATGCAATTCCTCACAGAATAATGTTAACTATGTATTTGTTTTTGCTGCCAAAAATTTTACATGTGTATTTTATATATGAATTGTGTATAGAATTTAACACATGCTAACACTTCTTCATTAAGTACCTGCTCTCGAGTCGGCCGCTAATAACGGCGTTCTGTCCGACACTCTGACGTCCGCTACCGACGAATCGCACCGCAAATGTTGTGACAAACAGAAGGCTATCAACATTATATTAAATGCTAATTTGATTATTTTCACATTTTGGACAAGACAATTTGATGTTGTGTCCAGGTTGTGAAAATTCACACTCATCGCCTAAATCATCGGCGTCACTTTTGGCCATTGGATGAGGCAGGGGATGTTCCCCCTCACCAGTAGCAAGTTGAGGAACCATCGAAGCCCTGGTGGCAGACTCCGAATATACCAATTCAATTTATGATATAAATCGCTTCTTTCTACAAATATTGGATTTCTACTAAAAAATCACTAATAATTACTAATTACTAAAGTCAACTAATTAAATATGTGTTAAGTTCCAACAAATTAATCTATAACAATCCAAATAACCCATTAACCAAATAACCAAGCTAATGTAAAACATTAAAATATTTTAAATTATGATTTTAAAATAAAATTTATTTCTATTCATTTAATATATTAATATTTAAACATTTGAATATTGTGCGTTTAATAAATTAAAAATTAATTATTAAAAAAATTTCATTAAAAAATCCCATAAATAATTTAATTAAAACGTTTAAATAAATGCGTTTTATGTGATTTTATTAAATAGCATCTGTTAAAAAATGTCTGTTATATACGACTTCACGGGTAAAGTAGTGTTGATTACGGGCTCGAGTTCGGGCATCGGTGCGGCCACTGCTGTCCAGTTCGCCCAATCGGGTGCCAGTGTTGTGGTCACCGGTCGTAGAGCTGATAAAGTGGCAGAAGTGGGCGAACAGTGTCTGAAAGTATCGCCAAAAGGAATTAAAGCGCTGGAAGTGACGGCAGATGTGACCAAACGTGAAGACATGCGACGACTCGTCGAGCAAACTATCAAACATTTCGGTAAACTTGATATTCTTGTCAATAACGCCGGCGCAGGGATTCCAACCAAACCGACTGATAAGGATTTCTACGAAAAATACGAGAAAGTGATGGCAATTACTCTCAATTCTGTCGTATATTTAACGTATATATGTGTCGAGTATTTGGAGAAAACTAACGGAAATATCATTAATATCTCGAGTAATAGCGGAATGAGAGTCGTAAGTATTATTAGTACAAATACAAGGATAATACAAATAGTTTGGTTGAAGTAAACTAATTATATTCACTGTTTATAAACTTATTTATTTTTTAACCACAGTATTTAGATTTTGCCCCGTATTGTATGGCAAAGTGTGCGGTGGATATGTTCACTAAATGTATGGCAGCCGAGTTGGGCACTAAGCGCATCCGGGTTAATGTAATTAAGTAAGATAGCCACGAATATAATAATTATACAAACAACATTATACACAATAAATGAATTAATTTATGAACATTTCTAGCCCGGGGCCGACGCGCACCGGTTGTATTACAGCAATGGGCGCAACACAGGGCGAGTCCGATAAGTTCTTTGAAGCCTACGCTAAAGTATTACCGGTTGGCCGATACGGCTTGCCTGAAGATATTGCTGATAGTATACTATACCTGGCCAGTGACCATGCTGCTTTTGTCACCGGCACCAGCTTTGTTTGCGATGGTGGGGCCGTTGTCGCTAATGCACTCAACTCCGATATTCGTTAAAAAATGAAAAATTTCACAATAATAATTAGTAGCAATAAGTTAATATTAAAATTAAATTGTACTGACTAATAAAATTATAATTCTCTCTTTCTCCCTCTCTCTATCTCTCTCTCTCTTTCTCACTCTCTCAAACTTCTATCGGTCTATTTTGTAATAATAATAATTTTGAATAAATATGTTTTAATAACTAAAATTGTAATGTTATACACACGATAAAATTTTTAACATCAATTTGAAATTGTATCAATTTTTTAATATTTAAACTGTACTGTACATTAATATATCAAATTCTACTGAATATTTACATAATATTAGTTGTACACTCCGTATCTAGAAATATTAATCACTTGGTTAGTTCAGTTTTTAGGTATATAAACGTTTTTTTGAAAATAAATTTAATGTATTACAATCAATTTAATACTCACAGTTTTCCCGTGCCATTAGTATTGCCCAATTCATGGCACTTATCTTTAATGATTTCCAACTTTTCTGGTGCTTCGACTCCATTACCATATCTCTCATAACGTGTGACTATGACATCAATAGCCGCTACGTTTTCCGGAATCGTTGGAGACACTAGTGGTGGTCGAGTACGAGGACCGGGACGGGTGGCGCCGATACTGGACACCATTTCTCGACCAATACTACCTATTCGTACAGCCAATACTCAAACGGGTGCGGAGTTACGGCACCGTACGTCTGGCCTCCGCCGACCCCTTCCAGCCGCCCCTAATTGACCCCCGCTTTTTGGCCGACCCCCGCGATTACCCGCGAGATTTCTACGACATTACCCGCTATGTACTTGAGTTTGTCGGAAAGTCATCGTTTGTGCCCCTGTTTGTGACAGTTATTTATTTGATTTAAAATATGTTCATATACAAGAGTAATAATATTACTATACCATATATTATGTGGTATAGATACTTGGATATTCATGAAATAACCAGTTAAATCAATTAATTTTGTCGAGTTTCTAGACATCCCAGATAAAACTTTATAATTAATGTTTACCTGGTAGTCATACAATACAGTCACTACTAGATTAAGTAGAACCGGTAAATACAAAATTATTGCATAAATATCTTTTGAAAATTTTTTTTGAAAATAGATTAAAATTTAAAGAAAATTTTGGATATATTTTTAAATTAAATATAACACACAAATTAATTTGAAATTAAAACATTTAAACATTTGGGTTTGGCTAATTTTTGAGCATATTAAAATTACAAATAAATTCTAAATTCCAGGATTAGTTGATTACAAATAAAACTCAAAACTTTAACTAGTATTACTCATTATTTACATTCATGAGGTAAGCATATCTGTGGGTTTTTGGGTTATTACCAGTAATTGCCAAAGTCTCAAATAGGTAGACGTGATTATTTGTTAAACTTGGTAATCTATAATACATTACTCATGATAAATGTTACGCTATTTGTAATTAAAGTCTACCCTTTAGTGTTTAATATTAATATATAAATAGTACCCCGATCCTATATGAATGTTACTTTATATATGAATCATCGTTTATGATAGTATAGATGAGTATAAATTATAATGCAATAGCGGCTCATCTCAGGCTCGAGAGGCAATACTAGGTTATTACATTCATGAAATATACACATGTACTATTTATTTTGTCAATGACATTTTGTACAACGTTATAAACTATATATGAACTGGACTATCTCATTATATGTTATTATAAAATTCTTACATTTTCCCGATTCAAGCCACTGTGAATTGGGGTTATTATATAAGTCAACTAATAAATTATCCAGTATAAAATATTAATATTTGAAAGGGCTTATAATAATTATTTATTTAACACAATAAAACAGATAACAATTCTTTCTAAAATAATAAAAATAAATATATGTGGGAATATTATATTTTCGACAATTATAATGATTAGTAGAATTGAGGATTAACTGTAGAATGTATATATATATTTTTAAAGTTTAAAATAATTAATCAATGAACATAAAACATTTGAAACCGATTTTAAATTAATCTATGTCAAATAAGAATCAGTTTTAAAAGTATATAAAGAGCGATCACAGTTTAAGTTAAACATCCATAACACTAACAGTAATATTACTCGTAACCCAACACAGACAGTAATACTACTGTTAGTATTATGGAATAAGTCTGATTTGAAAACATTATTGCTTTAATTTGTAAAGATTAATTTTGGTCAATCTTCTACTTTAACAAAAATTGTTGATTTAACTTGAACTGTAATCGCACTTTATATACTTTTAAAATTGATTCTTATTTGACATAGATTAATCAATATTTAGTATTTATTGATTCTTATATATAATTCAGATTGTGCTTTACAGTTTACAACAAATAATTACATCAAAAATTTCAATGAATTAGATTTAGAAAAAATTATTGCAAACTTTTACAATGCAAAACATATACATTTTATATTTATGCACTTTAGTATAGCAATAGCAAATATTTTGGTTATACACTTGATTATCACATGGTATACAGCGATCTACAGTATACTACAGAATATTCTGTAAAATATATATATCAGTATTGCATATATTAAATACACTATCACTTAAGACATAAGTGCATGAGATATAAGGGCACCGGTATATTGCATATGACTTACTCCTGCGTACAATACATCAACACTTAAGAGACTGAGCACACCATCCATACCGCACAGACAACTGTCCCCAACCTTATTGAGTTTTCTTAGTGTTTTTCTAACAAGAGTGAAATAGTTTTGCGAATAACAATAATATATTATTATATTTTCTGCTTTAAATGCTAATGAATTTATTGTATATTTTTCTGGATTTATTGATATTTTTCTATAAGAATTTACAGAATATTCTGTTGTGAAGTATATTATATTTTTGTATAAGAAAGTGGATTACATTATATTTATTTATTAACACAAAGCTATTGATTGTTGTTAAACATGTTGTGTCTGTAAATCCAGTTATTGATCATTATTTACAACTATATTTCTGTTATAATTAATTGCATTTATTATTTTCATTGGAGTTTCAAATCTATGAATCTATTTGTGAATTAATGACAACACTATAAGTGTAGTGAAAATATAAATATTTTATTATTTCTAAAATAAAAATCTATATTAAATATAATGAGAAAGTTATATAAATATACGTATTTTTAATGCAAATCTATCGATCCGTTATTTAACATGTGATATAAAATACATTATAAAGTTATAATAATAATAATATTTTTGTAAAAAATAAAACTTTAATTTATTATATATTTTATATTCTGTCATTGAAAATGAATATTCAATTCAATACAACAAATATTTTTTAAAACAAAGCAAAACAAAATTACTTATATTTATGATTATTAATTTAAATAAATATTTTTCATATATTACTCTATAATACAAAACCTCGTTATAATGAACACAACGTATTCGCACCGATATTACGGCAATTGTTACTCAAAATTCAAGCGCCCATTAATAACTCACGGATTTAAGAGAGAGAGAGAGAGAGAGAGAGAGAGAGAGAGAGAGCCTTTTATAAAAATTACTTAAAATAAAAAAATAGACAATTATATTATGCTATTGACATTTAAATATCATACTAATATTTAAAGACATTTACTACAAGGTAATTACAAGTCAAAATACCAATTATTATTAAACACAATAGAAAACCATAATAATATTTTTAAAAATCATTAAAACATAAATTATACAAAAATGAAATATGTTAAGAATAAAATTGCGAAATGTCAAATAAATAAATTTTAAAACATTAGCTAAATCAACATAAATTAATATAAAAACAATATTTATTTGACTATGGTAAAATTAATTCACACAGGTAGAAAACTTACGAAAATTTTTATCAAACTTCTCGTCATCGGACGTGTAATCCTTGATCACAATCTGTGCCTCACTGTATGTATTGCTATCGTTATTGTTTAAATAGTTTTTATTATTGAGCCTGGTCACTGTCGGGTCGTCCACAAACACCGGTACACCGCCCGGCGATGTACTGGACTGTACGGACGACCCGTTGGCCACTTTGCCCGTCGGGTACGACACTGTGGACGCCATTGACGCCCGTTTGCTGTCTAATGGTTTGTATGAACTCATGGTATGTCTCCTGTGAACTGATTATTGTTATAAAATAGTGATTGTTGTGAACTAATTGTTGTTATAAACTAATGTTTGTTATGATGATGTTTTGTTGTCAATTAAATCCGTGAGTTATTAATGGGCGCTTGAATTTTGAGTAACAATTGCCGTAATATCGGTGCGAATACGTTGTGTTCATTATAACGAGGTTTTGTATTATAGAGTAATATATGAAAAATATTTATTTAAATTAATAATCATAAATATAAGTAATTTTGTTTTGCTTTGTTTTAAAATATATTTGTTGTATTGAATTAAATATCCATTTTCAATGACACCATAGAAAAAAATATCATAAAATAAAGTTTTATTTTTTACAAAAATATTATTATTATTATAACTTTATAATGTATTTTATATCACATGTTAAATAACGGATCAATAGATTTGCATTAAAAATACGTATATTTATATAACTTTCTCATTATATTTCATATAGATTTTTATTTTAGAAATAATAAAATATTTATATTTTCACTACACTTATAGTGTTGTCATTAATTCACAAATAGATTCATAGATTTGAAACTCCAATGAAATATATAAATGCAATTAATTATAACAGTAATATAGTTGTAAATAACAATCAATAACTGGATTTACAGACACAACATGTTTAACAACAAGCAATAGCTTTGTGTTAATAAATAAATATAATGTAATCTACTTTCTTATACAAAAATATATGTATACTTCACAACAGAATATTCTGTGAATTCTTGTAAAAAATATCAATAATTACAGAGCAATATACAATAAATTCTTAGCATTTAAAGCAAAAATATAATAATATATTATTGTTATTCGCAAAACTATTTCACTCTTGTTAGAAAAACATTAAGAAAACTCAATAAGGTTGGGGACAGTTGTCTGTACGGTATGGATGGTGTGCTCAGTCTCTTAAGTGTTGGTGTATTGTACGCAGGAGTAAGTCATACACAATATACCGGTGCCCTTATAACTCATACACTTATGTCTTAAGTGATAGTGTATTTAATATATGCAGTACTGATAGATATTGTACAGAATATTCTGTAGTATACTGTAGATCGCTGTATACCATGTGATAAACAAGTGTATAACCAGAATATTTGCTATTGATTGCTATTTCAAAGTGCATAAATATAAAATGTATATGTTTTGCATTGTAAAAGTTTGCAATAATCTTTTCTAAATCTAATTCATTGAAATTTTTGATGTAATTATTTGTTGTAAACTGTAAAGCACAATCTGAATTATATATAAGAATCAATAAATACTAAATATTGATTAATCTATGTCAAATAAGAATCAATTTTAAAA